CAGGGCCTCCAGAGATGTCAGCTTTTCTTTATCAAAATTCTCTATTTAAGGACCACACAAAGGAGCTATTGTTTAACTGAAGCAGTGCTTTCATTATATTTTAATATCCTGTTCAAATATATCTAAATGGATACAAACATTCTGGTACTAGGTACCTTGTTTCCCAACAGTAGCTGTGTCTGCTTTACCTGAACAAATGAACTAATTTTCTCAAGGCTTTCTGGTTCTATCTCATCACTGTTTAATAAATCCAATTATATTCTACACTAATAAGATAAATCATATGCATACAAGTGGCACAAGGCCTATAGGTAAACTAAGCTATGGATCAAATACTTACTGAAAACTTAAGATGTGCTAGCTAGGTCTTACGGAGAACACAAAGACAAACATGACACAGTCCCCAGCCTGGCAGAAGAGAATCTAATACGGAAGCTAAGGCCCACAATGAAGAAAGACAAGTAATAACAGAAGGTTGGAATAAGATTTTAAGATAGTAACAACAGATTTGTGACAGCATAGCAGATGGCTGTCAAAGTAATCATTTTCTCTAGAACACTAGCTGAGCTTAGAGGAAGCTCAAGTTGGCCAGGTGTGGATCAAGGTCCCAGGGCAGTCGGTGCACAGACGGGGGCAGCCCTGATAGAGTTCCCTGCAGGATTCGGAGACTGGGACTGAGGTCTCACTCACTGATCACTGGATGTCAGAGTAAAAAAAAGAACCCGCAGAACCCTTGTATTTGGTGAAGGCTGGGCTAAGCCTCGGTCCAAAGCAGGGCTGCTCCATAGTAAAGCAAGAAGCCCACTGCATCCCAGTTTAAGCTTCCTCAAAGCTCATCCCCTTGGAGTAGTCCTTCATTCTTTGGTCCTGGAACTCGGCCTTCCACATAAATTCGGGTCTCCCGTGGGAAGGAAAGAGCTTATTAAGAGAATGCTATTAGCCAAAGAGGTCCTTTTATCTCCCTCCAACTTCACACTCCTCGGGGAGAGTGTGATGGAATTTGGACCACAGTTCTTCGGTTCCATATTTAATGCCTCTAAAAACCATCTCAGGTCTCTGATGTTTTCTTCCTGGATAAATGTCAGGAAGGCTGAAGGCACTAGAACAGCGGTTTTCAACCTGTGGGTCGCGACCCTTTTGGGGTTCAAAAGACCCTTTCACAGGGGTCGCCCGATTCATAACAGTAGCAACATTACAGTGATGAAGTAGCAACGAAAATAATGTTATGGTTGGGGGTGGTCACCACAGCATGAGGAACTATACGAAAGGATTTCGGCACAAGGAAGGTTGAGAACCACCACACTAGACCGACTGCCTTTCTAGTATCACACCTCGGCATCCCGGCGAGGCTGGGACACCTTTACCAGTCGAATGCAGTGGGGGTAGCCATAGTGAAAACAGTCTCCAAGACTTGGAATTTCCTGTAGCACCTATGAGAAGCCAAGGTGCTTGCCCATGGTCAGTTATTCCCCCGCAAGCAAAATATTTAAGAAGCATTTGTCAAAATGTCCTTCTAACTCACATCCCTGGCACATCCTCCTAACACCCGGGCTTTGACAAAGAGGCAGATTACCAGGAACGTACCTTCCCCAGCTTAAGGTCTCAATTCTCTGTCTCCTCTGAGTAACAGATTCACTAACCAACCGCATTTCCAATTGGACAGAGACTTTCAGGTGGTGGGGGAGGGATGGATTATGGCCAGACAGAACGGAGCACTCAGAACAGGCTCTGACTCTCAGAAATTCCCAAACAAGTCACTGTAGACCCTGAAACTGGCCCCGATGCAGAAAGAAATGCAGGATTCTCAGAGTGAGGCTGCGGTGACATCTGTACATGTAATGTGGTGGACGGCGCTACCTCATACATGTAATGTGGTGGATGGCGCTGCCTCGTTCACTTTCACCGTGGCTCAGGAGAGGTTGCCTCAGCAGTGTGGGTGTCAGGGTCTTCTGACTCTGGGGTTCATGTATCCCTCAGGGGGGAGTCAGCTAATCAGACTACATTGGAACCCTTTTCATCCTGACTGTCCAGTGAGTACTCTCCTCCCACAGCTACCCAGGATGGATAAGAATGTTCCTAGGTAGCAAAGGAGTGCTCTCGTGCTAGGCTGGCAGGGTATGTTGTTGCCGTTTGTCCCCGACTTGATTCCAATTCAGTGTGGTCCTATAAGACACAGAGCTGCCCCACAGGGTTCCTAGGCTACCCTTACAGAAGTAGACCCAAACCACTCAACCTCCGCTAGCAGCAAGCACTCCACCAGTGTACTGCCAGTGCTCCTTACGTCCAAATCATCTCAGCTAGAACCTCGAAATGCGCTCCATCCTCCAAGATGGCTAAGATATCAAGTCAGAGCCCCCAAAGGGAAAATGATCAAATGTGAACCCACCCACCCACTGCAAAAAAAAACAACAAAAACCAACTCATTGCCATCAGAGTCAATTCCAACTCATAGCAACCCTATAGGACAGAGTAGAACTGCCCCCTCTGGATTTCCAAGACTGTCAGTCTTTACTAGAATAGAAAGCATGTCTTTCTCCAGAGGGAGGAATGGTTGGTGATTCTGAACTGCTGGATATTCAGTTAGCAGCCCAACTGCTCCCACCACAGCACCAGGCTCCCAAAGTAAGAGGGAGATAACCACTCTGCTTAGAAGCATACACAGCTGGGTGTACTTGGTTTAAGGAGAATCCTGATCTTAATAGAATTCCAAGGTACAGTCATGCACAAGTGGTTTACAAGAAGCATGGAGTAAATCCTAAACTCACCCAAATAGGTCAGTGGAATTCTCACAACCATAGTTACACAGAGTTCAGTTATGGTGTTGTTTGATTGTTTGCGTCCAGTCAGCTCCAACTCATGGCAAGTGCATGTACAACGTAACAAGACCCCTCCAGTCCTGCACCATGTCACAAATGTTATGTTTAGCGTACTGCTGCAGCCCCTCTGCCAACCCATCTCACTGAGGGTCTTTCTCTTTCCTGTTGGCCCTCTACACCACTAAGCAGTTGTATTCACAGGAAAGAAATATGCCTTCCTAGCTCACGATGATCAGAGCCTAATGGTATAATGCTCAGCGATGGCATTCTGAAACTACACGCCCAGGCCAACAGGCTTCTCTTACGGAAAACTGACGGAGAGCTGACAGGAAACCGGCATGAAGCTAGAGAGCATGTGAAAGAGACCGGAGGCTACCTTCATTCTTAGAGAACAAAGGCTGATGAGAGGCAACGGGAGAGCTGATCTAAGCCTGCACGGAGTTTAAGGTGTCAACATACCGACACATGATTAATTTTACTCTCCTAAGTGGGAAATGCTCAGATAGCTCCCAAATCAACGGGCACTGTACCAACCTGGAAACAAATTACTGAAGGTGTGAAAATGACAGCATCCATCAATCGTCTGCTTTTCTTAGGGTTGAATTTTGAAAGCCTCCTGGCCTACCACTCTGGCACAATCTGCCTCATAAGGCAGGAGCATTGTGTCAGAGGTTACTGTGCACTGTCAAAGTGTACTCTGCTCTGTGGACCAGGGTGAGTGAAAGAGCTTTAGAAACACCCACAAAAGGAGGAGAAGCAAAAGACGAAGACTCAGCTCTAGAATTCCAGGAGGCAGAACATCCACAGTGCCCACTCCAACCCTGCCGTTGAAGGTAACTCTAACACTCTGGGGCCTTCCCATGTGCCTTGTAAATCATTTAGTTGCTTAATAAACAAAACTATACAAGGGAATAAGTCTTTCGATAGTCCTTCTAGTAACGTAGGGGGCAAACACTATTTTGTTGCTCACACGGTCCAGTCATGTGACCTTATCTCTGAAGTCCACCATAGTTACAAATGTCTAGTCAGAGTTTAGATGCTAAGTAAGAATTGTGATTCTATTGTAAGAACTCTGGTTCTTCCTATAGAGAACGGGAAGTAAAGGCAGGAGATGAAACCTAGGGCATTTACTAGTAGTCTTAGATCACAGGCGAATGAAGACGACCCCAGAGAGAAGGAACTGGCATTGAACTCTCTATCTGGGGGCTGTGGTACTTCTAGCTATTAGATAAGGTAGCCATGTGAATCAGCATGTGAGCTAAGTTTAAAAAAAAAAAGTGAAGGAGAAATACCTGTGAATGAAGCCTCCAGGGAGTTCCCTTTAAACACAGACCAGGAATGTGAGTGGCCTTGCTATCAGCCAGAACCCTTCACAAAGAGCAGCAGAGAAGATGTAACTAGATGAAAATCCAGTTTGAGCTTCCTTTTGACACATTCTGAGAGTGCTCTGGTTTTTAATATTTTATTTTCTTTAAAACTGGGCTCTGTTTCTGTTGTACTTTGTAGCCTTCTTGTCTGCTATGTGTTTGTCTGTTTTCAGTGTATGAAACCCAGGATGGGTGAGTCTACAGAGACAGTCACTGAAGGGAAAGTTCCTGGGGGTGGGCGGGGGAGGTGAGGGGAAAATGGGGAGCCAATAACAAGGATACAAGAAGGGAAAAATGTCCTAAAACTGATTGTAGTAGTGCTTGTACAGTACGTTTTGATATGATTGAACCATTGAATTGCATGATGTCTGACTTGTGTCCTAATGATTTACACACACACACCCAAATACATTGAAAAATGTGGAAGAATCACAGTATTCGAGTTAATAACTATGTTACATCAACAAAAAGCTATAGAATGAATCTGTTTACCCAATAAATACAGATTTCAAACCCAAATCAAATCCACTGCCGTCCAGTCAACTGTCACTCACAGTGACTCTGATCCATAGGACAAAATAGAACTACTCCTTAGAATTTCTGAGGCCGCACTTCTTTACAGAAGCAGACAGCCTCATCTTTATCCCAGCCTGGCTTGGTAAGGGCCAGCCGGCTGGTTAACACCTCACACCACCACTGCTCTTCAAAGGGTTTGAAATGATCTCTCACACTTGGAGCTCACTGTGAAGTACTCCCCATGCACCCACCAGCCAGCGCAGTTCAAGACCTGGACTGTGCACTCGACCACAAGCCTTACCTGCAAGCAGGTGTACAGAGGTGAAGCTCTTCTCCAGTTTACCCAGGAGTACAGTGAGAAAACAGTCTGAAGATAGAGAGGCAACATCTTGCGAGCTTTGGTCATAAACGACAACCTTCTGGCTACAATCGATGTCGATCTGCAAGGTAAGCATGAGGCTGTTAGGAAGTAAGCCAGGTAAGGAAGCCAATCCCACAGACTACTGCTTGAGGCTGCTCCCTCTTTGCTAGCTGGGCCAGCCTGTTAGCAGGTTAATTGATAACGTGTTATCAATTAAGAACCGAGATGAGGTTAACTGATGAGGTCAATCTGGCATGCAAATTGTTTAGAGACTTGTAAAAATCAACTTTTAGAAGACAAAAATTAATGTGGTTTCTGTATGGATGTGGCTCAAACTTCTTTGGTCTTAAATCCTTATGATATAAAATGTTTAGTAGTGCTCATGAAACAAAATGATATATGATATAAACAGTGAATTCTGAACTAAAACATTTAAAAAACTGTTTTCTGTAGGACAAAGAAAGTTAAAACATGAGCTCAGTTTCAAAGAAAGAGCAAAGAACATTCACAAAGGTGACCTGGTGGTTTCCCAGGAACAACTTTGCACGAGGAGCAAGCATGTCCTCAAGTCTGGACCTAGGGTGCCTAACCTGCCCGCACATAAAAGGCATCTCGGACACAAGTAGTTCTGACATGCTTTCTAATGTCCTTGAAAAGGATTGTGCTCTTTTCAGTAAATTTAAAAATAATGCAAAACAATGTCTAACTGAAAACAATTTTATAAAGCCATTAAAAGGAAAACATAGTACTTATCCAAACAAAGGTGGATATTTTTAACATTCTGTATCATATTAAAAATATTCAACAATGTGCAAAAAGAGTGAGTAAATTCTTTCGGGGGAGCATAAGGTACCAAAATTTCAAAAGCAACTCAAATTTCCTCAAATGACTTTCTCCCATCAAAAACTGAGGTTTTATTTTAAATTATCCCCTCTCATTCAGAGTGCCCACTAATCTAGAGAGAAAGAAAAAGCAAGCAAGCATTTACCTTCTGTTTTGCTGAATGCTGGATGAGCTCTGTAATTAACACTTTGTCTTGTTGCAACCTTCGCTTCATAAGCTTGGAGCAGTTGATATTAATGGCTTCCAAAATGTGGGATGTATTGTATTCCACAAAAGGCCGGCTGTCAATTAGCAGCACTTTCTCCGTTCCACTTTCCAGCAGAGCCACCAACCTCTCAGTAAGGATTTGAGTTCCAATCATCTCATGGGCCATGACAACAGTGAGTCCTCTTTTCCCACCTCCTTCTGTAACTTGCCACGATGATGTAATGGTGGTGTGCTCAGAGGCTCAGCCACCCCATTGTACTAGAAATGTATGAGGTCAGGCTGGTGGTGACTGGCAAAAAGGGAGTTAAACCCATTTTCAGCAAAAGCTGTCCAAGTGAGTGTCTCTTTCTCTTTCCTGCTGATGTGCACTTGCAAAGGACTCCTCCCACAAAGCAGCCCCTCACATTTGATTCATAAAGAGATGACTGGAATAACCATTCCACAACAAAAGATGCTTTGGGGCAGCCACGCATTACATCATTCTTTACCTTTGCTCCCTCGTTCCAACAGCTTTACGCAGACTGAAAGCCTACACAACGGGAGAGAGAGACAGACAGAAAACAAAACAGGGGTCAGAAAAGAAGAAAGAGCATCGGGTTGGAGAGCGTGTATAATTCACAATATTTACTCCATTAATCTAATTCCATACTTGATGCCCTCTTTCACTTGAACGAACAAATAAAATGGACTGATGGGTATAACTGCGGCGAAAATGTTTTGTGATAATTCACTTTCACCTCAAAACATAAAAACTCGCAAGACAGAGAAACAAGGCATGTGTGTGAATTATAATCACCTGGACCCGGCAATAAGTAATCTGCAGAAGGAGATTTTGAAAGGGCTATCAAAATGCGGTTTGAAGCATTATGATTCCAAATGTCCTCCTCTAGCGTATTGCTTGTGAATAGTATTAGCAACAGCCTGAGGACCAGGTAAGCAGTTTATATTTAAAAAGGCAGAAATCTCTTCTGATGGCTTGAGCCTTGCTGTGCCCATGTGCAAGCTCATGCACACAGACCGTGGCCCAAAAGACAGCCCCTTTATATTGCCCTCAAGGAAGAGAGGGGCAGGTAAACAAGAGGTCTATGGATGCTGGCTTCTTAAGGAAGAAGATGAGCAGAAAGGACTGACAGCAACTCTTAGCCCACTGCTCAGGGCATCTGCTGGGCCCAGCTCCACCCAAACCACCTCACAGCTGTGATCCATGCCTACCCTTCAACTTTCCTGGGCCTCAATCTTAAGAGAATCATCCCCAGCCTTAGAAAATCCCTGGTTAACACCCTGGATGTTTAAAAAGGAAAAAAAAAAGTTTCCATCCACTCCACAAAAAACCTTAATGACCCCATATACATCAAAGTGAAACTTCACATCACAGTTTTCAGTGGGTACTTTTCCAGATGTAAACTGCCAGGCCTTTCTTCCGAGGTGCACTTGAGTCGGCAGCAATCTCCAACCTTTGGGTTAGGAGACAAGCACATTAACCATTTACACCAGCCAGGGGCCCAGATGGACAGAAACTCAATACTGGGACACTGCTTCCCTGTTCTCGTCAAACTCTTGGGACGATTACTTGCTAATTAATTCGCCGTAGTTGGAGCTTCATGCTCCAAGTCTGGATCTCACAATGAAGGGCAATATTCTCAGATTCCTAGGCTCCTGACCTATCTCTGTCGATATGAAATCCTCTCCTAGGCAAAACCCCATGCTCCCATCCACATCCAACTTGTAGAGGGTGCGTGATACGATGGCAGAGGTCGGGCTTAGTGCCCACTGCTAGAGGGCTTGACCCTGGCTTTACACAATCCTCCTGATTCCAAAATGGCTTAAGGTTCTTAAAATGTGATGAACTGATTTCAGATCATAACGGCAGGACTCTTTAAAATCACTGGGGGGATCCCAGAGTCTTAATTTTATGCTTACTGTACACGAGAAAGTGGCTCATGGAGAAGAGGGATTGAGATTTAAAGTGAACTTCCCACAAATCATATAACCTGGACTGGTTTCTTCATTGATAAAGTGTGGACATAACACTGGACTTGTCCCCTCATGAAGCCTGATCTGAGGACAAAATTACCCAAGCCACCTCAAAGTGGGTGAGTGAAAACGTGACTACACATCACTTAGAGAAAGGTGGGAGTTTTTCTAAAGATGCCAATGGTGAACAGAGTTGGTTTGCATCTGAAATCTGCAGGGTGAAACACAATCCCATTCTCCTATATTCCAGCTTCTAATGGAAAGGCTAAAGGCATGAGTCAGCAAGCAGTGCCTTAGCAGAAAGACCTGGCTCTCTACTTCCAAAATCAGCCACTGCCAACCCTCTGGCGTTCTATGCTGGCGCACGCGGTATCGCTCATCACAGGAATCAGCTCGAAGGTGTCTGGTTTACAGCCCACTTCAATCAATTTAGACAGACAGCCCCGAGAAACCTTCTCGTCCACCCTCTACACTCTGCAACTCAGAAAACGGCTCCATGTCATATATTACTTATCCATTTCTTGTCGAAAAGAGTTTCATGGTATTAAAGGTTTCGACTGTTTTACTGCAATGTGGTACAAAAATCATCTGTTTGCAACTGAAGAAATTGGAGCCGAGATTTCTAGTCCATCAAGGAAACTAATAATCTCTACGAAGTCCCCGCCAGGTCCTGACTGCTCAGTGTACCACTGAGAGCAGCAAAAGCTCCTGTCCTGATTGTTTGACTCCCAGTGCAGGGCTCCCACTACTGTGTGGCCCTGTTTTCCCTAAGTACCTGTCCCCATAATGGAAGTGGTCTGGGAAAGAAGGACGTGACTTGTCCGCAGGGTGCCCGGGTGACACAGAAAGTGGAAACTGGAGAGCCCAGATGAGTCGGTTCCAACGAGAGCACGGATACGCTGAGCCTGATTGGCTCCGCTGGGTGATCAAATCAGGATGAGACAAAGCAGTTATCAGGGTTAGCGGATCAGGGGACAAAAGGAGGGAGAAGACAGCAAACATGCAAAAGTTGAGTTATAAAGTTCTCATCTTTGCATCCCTCCGGCCAAATCTCACAAGCCCAAATCGCTGAAGACAAAGATAGTGCCTCAGTAAACAATTCTACGAGGAAAAAATGGTCATTCTTACCCAGAAAGCCAGAGGGGCAGTATTCCAGACACACACACAAAACCCTTCCCCGGACCGAGAAAAAGTCTGGTCCAAGTGACTCTCGTGTGAGGATGTAAAGGGAGCACAGAGGTGAGAGTGAAATGGGGATAGAGTTACAGCCCTTTTCAGGGCGGTACCCAGTGAGGCCGGCTGGAGCCCTCCCGTCACACCGTTCTGCCCAGCGTCTGGTTTTCCACATCCAAATTGCCTAGGGGAGACACAGAGTCCAGCCAAGGGATAGCAACAACCTTCAACGTCACGATTTGTAACCGGAGATTTCTGTAAATCCCCCTCTGGGGCTACAATTTTACTTTTTTTTTTTTTTTTTACATTTTTGGATTTTACATTTCTCTCCACACTAACTGCTCATGTGTTGTTCTAAAGAATGTCAATACCCAGCAAGATCAAGGACATGTCTGTAACAGTTTGTGTTCAAAATATTTGTGTCAAGTACCATTTAAAAGATAAGAGTATTTTAGCCTTTGCAAAACCAAAACTAGCCTTTCCCAAAATTTCTACAAAAAGTCAAAAGCTATTAAAAACCCTCAGACAAAAGTACAGAGGTCCAAGTACATATAGCAAATCGGGGTTTCAAGCCAGTTTGAAAGGGTTCGGTCATAACCCACAGAGACAAGGGCAGTGTGTGCACCGCATGGAAACCAAATCGCCTCCTGTCTCGAGCCAAGATCAGACACGGTCTTTGAGCAGGCACCTCCACAAGTATCTTAATTGGATGTGGTCGCTATGCAACATGTAAGCTGCCCTTTATTCCTGTGGTCAGGAATAAAGTTATTTGAAGCAGGTAAAAAGCCCTGAGCAAAATGAAGTCAGGCCAACATTGCTACTTCATGTATTTACTAGGCCAGTTTTAAACATCTTAATTCATTTCTTTCATTTTTAATAATATAGTCACATGGTATAAAATTAAAATACAAGATGAAATGGCAAAGGGGCAGGGGCAGGAAAACAAGAATAATGGAACAGAACAAGAATGGGCATAGCCAAACTGTTGACATACTGTGAAAGATGGAATCAATGTTACTGAACAGTATGTACAGAAATGGGAAAGAAAATTGTGTAAAATTTCACCCCAAATACAGTATTACTTTTTAAACTTTAGGTAAAGAATATATACACATTATGAATATGTAGTGTCTCACCACAGCCACTGTTTGAGTTGGTTCTGACTAAACCCAAACTCACTGCCACAGAGTCAAATATGACCCACTGGAACCCTGTAAGACAAAGAAGAAATGCTCCAGGGTTGCTCAGGCTGTCGATCGTTAGGGAAGCATCAAGCATCATCTTAGAACTGCCTCGTTGAGTTTCCAAAATTCTAAGTCGTTATGGGAGCGGACAGCCTCACCTTTCTCTGCAGGAGCAGTTGGTAGGTCCAGAACCTGACAGTTAGCAGTCCAATGTGTAAACTCCCAAGCTACCAGGGCACAGAGGGTTACACACAGGGCTACTAATCAGGTCAGCAGTTTGAAACCTGAGCCGCACTGGAGAAAGGTGAGGCGTTCTAGTCCCATAAAGATTGACCATCTCAGAAACCCACAGTGGCAGTTCTACTCTGTCCTAAAGGAACGCTATGAATTGGAACTACCTCAATGAAAGTGAAAGTTTTTGTATGTCAATTATACCTCAATAAAGCCACTACAACATTGCCATCGCATTGAGACACCAACAAGCACATTTGAGTGAAAAATAAACGCATTGAAAAGTTTTCTTCCATCCCTGCTCCCCACTGGCAACCAGTTAACACTTTCTTGTGATTTCTTAAGCGTTTCACATCAAATACAAATATATCTCATAATTGTTCAAATGGTTATACAGCATACACAGTGTTTTGTTATTCCCCACTCCAATTTGATATCTTTAATATTTAATTTGAATGTGATTCAATCCATGTCTTCAATGGAGGCAATTTTGGCCATCTACATAAAACTTGCTGAAATTGTGTAACCTTAGCCCCCTGTCCTCTACTCCTCCTCCTATTCAGCCAGCTATTCCCCTGAGCCCTAAAGGCCAAAGAGTAATTCAGAATAATGAGCTTGAAAGGCCAGCAGATTGTTTCATGGCGTCCCAATGAGACAATATCCTCTACAGCACTTACAAGAAATTTATAAATGTGAAGGATGCACACAATTATGGGAGCTATCTTTTAAGGATATTCTAAATGCATTAAGATGATATTTATCATACTGAAGAAAGTAAGCACACCAGGGTGACTAAACAAATAACTTCAAAGTTGCCCACATTCAGAAATAAAGGTTTTTAAAGAGTGTATGATTAGCAACTTAAGACCAACAAATATTTGCTTTTTCTGACATGTCTTGATTCTGCAGACAGTTTGTCAGGGTGAAAAAGCATGACTGAAATGTTTGCCTTGAGTCTTGCTCTTAT